TGCAGTTCCTGCTGTCTGGAAAGCCCTGGGCTGGCTCCGCACCCAGCTCCGCCCTCATCCTTAGTCCTCACCAACACGCCTCCAGGCAAGAGACTTTCGGAATATTTCCCCACCACATACAGCTGCAGATTTGACAGTGGCTGTGGACCAAACGCCTTCCCACCCCAGGGTGCTGGCTCCAGGAGGGACCTGCTGCATGTCCTGGGCCCTGTCCCTGAGCCTCGCCCCATGCTGGCACATCATCAGTGCCCAAAAATCACCTGTGGAGTGAGCGAGCACGTTCGGCGAGTGGCAACCAGAGCCGAAGCGGACACAGCTCTGTCCTGCACTGGATTCAGTGGCTGACTAATCCTCCCGTCTGGGAACCAGTTTTCAGGCCTTAACTCGTAGGAATCAACCCTGACTAGTCAACCAGTCAGCAGTGCTCCCCTAGGGCACCCCAGGTCCTAGGCTGGCCAAGATCGACGCCCGACAGTCCTTCACCCACCAGTCTATCCGGCCACATCAGCCCCTTCCCGCCTGTCCACCGCTGTCCACACTGGCAAGCAATGGGATTAGGGGCCTTCCAAGGAGGCCCCCGCAGGAAAGGGGATGGGTTTGCCATTACCTTCAGGAAGGGAATGACAAACGGCCGCAGAGGGAAGTTGGTGGCCTCCTGAAGCTTGGAATGAAACTCCTCGATCGTCAGCGTTGAGTTCTGCAGGGGAGAAAACCCACCTCACACCGGCACCGCTCGGCACATGAGCCAGCGCCGGCCCGCCCATGCCTGAGGAGGAGGCTCCATGTTGGAAGCGGGCAGGCAGCCCAGGAGCTGGGCACGGCCTGGGAGGGTGCAGGCGGCATCGTGGGAGCGGGTCCACGCCCAGTCGTCAGCATGGAGCCCACGTGCGGGGTGGCCATGGCTGCATCCTCATTCAACAGAGGGAATACGCACGTCCCAAGGCCCTGGCTGCCCCTGCCCGACTCACCACCAGGCCCAGCACCAGCGTGCGCACGCGCTCCCCGATCTCTGGGGAGATGTCGCTGCCAAACTGCTGCAGGGCGGTGAGGAAGCGCTTGAGTTTGCTGAGCTGCCGGGCCCCGCAGGCCGGGGGCAGGTGCTGCGTGGACAGGGAGGCCGTGGACGAGGTGGCCGGGCCATTGCTGAAGCCGTTGGGTGTGGACGGTGCGCCGCTGATGGCTGTCGGCGAGTGGCTGCTGCCGTTCATCACTGCAGGAGGGAAGCGGGTGTGAGGGTGAGGGACACCAGGACACAAAGGTGACGGTGACAACACAGCCCAGACGGCGGCGACAGTGAGGGCAGCAGCAACCAAGGTGACAATGTCCACAGCAACGGCAACAATAATGGGACACAAGGACAGCAATGCTGAGGATGACAGCAGGAGCCCTGGACCCGCCCAGGGCAGCTGAGCCAGACCTTTGCGTGCTGACCATCTGTCCTTCCGGCCCTGCTCTGAGAAGTCACACACAACCCCTTACAGACGTGGAAATGGATACTCAGGGAGGTGAAGCCTCTTTGCCCCAGGTCCCCAGTGGGTAAGGGCTGGGATGGCACCCACAATGGTGGTGGCTGTGGAGTGACTGTGTTCTGAGTGTGGCTTCCCCTGCTTGGCACCACCCTTGGGACTTGCTCTGGGGCTGAAGTCAGGCCCTTCACACCCAGGAGGGGTGTGGCCCCTACACCTGGCCTGGAAGACACCGACCCACCAGGCTGGCTCAGGTTTTCACTGCGAACAGGGAGTGAGGGGCTTTTCCACACAACGGGGGCTTGATGGCTCAGTTCCCACTTTCTGGAGGCACGGGAGACTTGGAAAATGAGAAGTCGCTCATCCCCCTGAAAGACCAGCTACCATCACCTCTGGCATGACGTTCCCAAGCAATACCCCTACACCCAATCAGGCACCTCCCAGCCCTGAGCAATGTCCCCCACAGATGCCTCCCAGCCCCAAGCAATGCCCCCCACAGATGCCTCCCAGCCCCGAACAATGTGCTCCCCCCTCTTCCACACACACACACACAGGTGCCTCCCAGCTCTGCAGGTGCTTTCCCGCCCTGAGCAATGTCCCTCCTACATGTGTCTCCCAGCCCCGAGCCATGCTCCAGACAGGTGACTCCCAGATGTGAGCAATGCCTTCATTTGCCCCAACACCTGGGCTAATGGGGTTCCAGGGGACAGAGGAGCTGGGACACCCAAGGACACACTGGGTGGGTTCCTGCCTCTGGTGGCTGGACACACAGATGCATGTGCACACAGACCAGCGCATGTTGAGGACAAGCAGGTGACATAAGGAACAGCTGATGAGTGCGCTGCAGGGCTGCCTGTTGGCCACTGAGACGTGACAGCCTGGCTGGCCCTGCTATTGGGGTCAGCGTTCCAGGGGCCTGGCAGACATGGGGCTGCTATGGAAAGTCCCAGGGCTGGGCCTCACCCCTTTTCTTAGGTGACAGAGCTAAGGCCAAGCCTCTTGTAAGGAGGCCAGGGTGGCCCTCCTGTGCCCGGGACACCTGCACCCTGTGCCCTTGGCCTCAGGAGCCTGAGGGGCGACCTCCAGGCTCTGCAGACAGGTCAGAGGTCACAGGGCTCCCGAGTCCCTTGCTGACGGGAGGGGGACTGGATGCCTCTGGGAGGCCTGAAGTCCTGGCCAGCTCCTGCTGTCAGGAGGACCAAAACCCCGCACACACTCACAGCTGGCTCCCGCCTCCTGCACAAGGACACGCTCCCTACACAGGGTACCAACTCCTCCATTTCCCTGCCTCCACTCACCCCCCACTGCCCTTACATACATGCACACATACGTACACATGTGCACACATGTATGCATATGCACACACGTACACACATGCACACACACACGCACACACGCACGCACGGCTATGACGTTCACGCACGTCTCTCTTGCTCCACTGTGGCCCTGAGTGCCCCTCTCCAGGGAGCCCACCCCTCGCCCTTGCTGAGAGTGTGGGTCTGGGGGTGAGGGCAGCTCAGAGCCACCTGCTCCCTCAGGGCCGAATTCCTCCGAGGCTCCAGCCGTGTGTTCATGCCTGTGGCTGAGGCCTGGCGGGGCCTGTGTGTGCTGAGGAGGAGAGGAAAACCCTTTCTCCAGGATGGAGACGCCCCTGGGCTGGGCTGGTGCAGCAGCTCCTCCTGGGAAGCCGGTAGGCACCTGCTGTTTACTTCATGTGCCCTGGATAGTGGGGGGTCTTGGTGTACCCCTCAGATCAGGCCAGCCCTGCCCATCCTAACCTGGCCCTGGGAGGTGACCCTGCTGAGTGCTGTAGACTCTGCCTGGACGGGAGGGAACATGGGACGTGGGGGCCCACATGCCGGCCCCCCTTCCTGGGCTGTGTCCCCACAGCTGTGGCCCTGGCTGGGCCCGGCCACACCCTCCTGAGGTTGACTGACCAGCCATACCTCCACCGAGGCCCTTCTGAGGGGTCAGACCCTCTCTAAGTGTCCCTCCAGTAACCCTTAAGTGGCCGCCATCGGCTTCCTCCACTCCACCTTCCCAGAAGCCGCCTGAGGCTCTCACCTTCCCGACCGCGGTCTAGGGGCACCTGCAAGGCGTCTCCCGGGTCAGGGAGCTGTGCTGTGGCCCGGGCTGGGCTCTGCACCTGCGCACACACAGGCTGCACGGTCATCACACACATCCCACGCGGCAGACGGGCGCCGAGGCACCGAAGACACTCAGCGGGGCAGCGCGGCT